CAATGCCCCAATCTTGACCTCTTTATTGTTCTCTTCAGAACCCAAGTTGATCAGTTCGACAGGCTCTTTATATGGATGAATAATTTTCTCCTTGTGCTTAAGCATCCAAGTAATTTCTTCTGGAATACCATTGTCTTCCTCACTCTCTTCTTCCACTTCAAATATAAGGAACTCAAAGTTGAGAAAAGGTGTATGGTCATTGTTTTCAATGGGTTTATTGCTTATTAATTTGCACATGATTTATGCTTTATTTTAGAAAACAGACAAATATGGAAGTGATATGCAATAAAATGGAATTATTTTATAAAAAAATTTAGTTACCATTTTCCAAAAAAAAATTCAAAAAGAAAACACATTGGATAACAAAACGTCTTTTATTAATGATCTTAAATTTGAAACAAAGGTGCTCGAACAAAGTCACTTTCACCTTGGGCATAGTGAAAAGAATTATTTGAAAAACACAAAACAAATTACTTTGACAATTGAGCGACACTAGGAACATCCACAGCAATCCAATTTTGGTTAGTCTATCCATGTGTTACAAAGCAAGGCCATTATAGATCTGAATCACCTCCACCAATGGCAACAACAACTTGATTTTCGGGGTGAATAAAACCAGCATTGTAAAACACATCTTGAATAGGTCTGATAATAACTTCATGCTTCATTGCTCTTCTAGCTGCATAGGGTGAGAACCCTAGACCGACTCTGTTCTTATTCTCAAGAAGCTTAATAATTTGTCCCCCAACCTTCTGATTTACCATTCTTCATAACCTATTGTGCATCTTTCAAAGAAGCAATAGATGACCCATTCTTCTGAACAACACTGACTATATCAAGAGATTGGAACTGAGTTCCAACAACCTCCTCATCTGTGTTATGTTTAGTATGACTTGTATAATACCCTGGTCCATCAAACCCTAGATATCTTTCTTTACCAACGCACACCCTTCAGGATTCTGCTCACATAACTAGGAATCTGAATTGTCACTTTTGAAAAAACCAATCTTGCACAACTTGGCATGCACATCAACTAAAGAAGTCATCACCAGGTTAGTATCAGAAATCAAATACTCTTCCGGACGAACTTCTACCACACTGATAGAAGGTCCACCATTTTCTGGTAGAGGATTAGCTTGCACCTTAGGTCTGACATCTTGGAACTTCAATGGACCATTCTTGACGAGCTTATAAACTTCTGCTTTTAACAAGAAATAAGATTTAAGATCATTCCCCGACGCTCCCTGATAAAAATCGCAATAAGCTTCAGGTCTATACCACCATGGAATTGGATTTGGAACATTTGGTGGAGATTTAGTTTGAATAAGCATATTTTGTATCAAAGCTAGATACAATTCTGTATAAGTCATATGGATAAGATCGAACTGACCATTCCTAGGAGCACGGGCTTGCTGATTTTGATTAGATCGTTGATTTTTCTATTGAGCAGCAAGAGCTGGACTAATCACTAGAGTTACTTTGGCGATATAAGGTTGTTGATAATACTGTTGAGATCGGTTCTGCTGACCACTTCTTTTTCTGGGTCTTATTTGCCTTACTCCTTGAGAAATGGCATTGACGTCCCCTTCTTTCTTCTTATGAAAACGGTTACCAGACTTCTTTGTTCCACTTGACGAACCTGATTCTTTCGTCAAACGATCCTCTCTGATACCTTCTTCCAATCTGACTCCCATACCCATAATTTCGGTGAAATCTTTTGGAATGATAGCAGTTATCCTCTCATAGTATAAAGAACTCAAAGTCTTGAGAAACATATTTATCATTTCCATCTCCTCCATCAGAAGGATAATTTGAGCAGCAACTTCAGGTCGCCTTTAGGCATACTATTTGAATGATTCCTTATTTTTGTGTGACATGGCACGAAGTTGGTCACGATCAGGAACCATGTCCAAATTATACTTATTTTAACGTACAAACGCCTCCGCAAGCTGTTGCACTCCAAAATTTTCCCTCACTATTTCTTACCTTAACTGGCCTTCGCTTCGCATTCATCTGCATTTTCCATTAGGTCATGTACTCATAATCATTCATTTGCACGAGCTCCTAAGACATGGGGTCGAAGGATTTTCTTGTTATTTGAGGTCTTCCCTATTTAATGGTGATTCGAGATTCTTACACTCCAGTTTGAAGCAAAGGTTGAGCTCCTAACATCATGAGTATCTTCTTTATCAAGTACATCAAGTACCAAGTTATCTTCTTCAAGATTTCTCAAGAGCATCAAATGTTTGGAGTTTCATATTTGATTTAATTGAGAAGATTGTGGTTTAGGGTTTTATTTCCTTTAAGCATCTCAATATGCTCTCTTCATCAGTGTGTATCTCAAGGAGGATTAGGGTTTTCTCATTCATGGTTGAGTTTGGGGACATTTCATCAACTGAGGATCATTGAATACTAAAGTGTTCTTCTATGTTTCCATCTTTATCATTTATGATTAAAGGATTCAAAACATTGATATTTTTGTTGATCGTCAAAGTCAAGACAGGATATAAAGATGTTATTGTAGATTCATGTTGTGGTCAAGGCCATTGATGATATTTGTTGATTCTCATGAAGATTGAATATGGATTAGAAGATCGCATTGAAAGATAGGGTTCTTGAAGAAGTGAATTTGGATTTGGATTCATCAATGTTTAAGCATATAGTTTGTGAGAAAACTTCATGTAGATTGTTGGAGTTCAAGTTATCAAGGCAAATAATGCATCCCATTTTTATCCATTTTAAAGCCCATATCAAAGGTCATTCACAAACCATTCCAACTATCCAAATATGTGTCCATATCCATTTTGTTTTAACCAAAAGTCCACATTTTAAATTCATGTCCAACTCATATTCAAATCTTTTTTTAACCTCTTTTTCTTTTTTAAATCCAAATAAATCCACATTTTAAAACCATTTATTCTTTTCGTTCAATTCATATTCATTTGCAATCAACCATTTGTTTTCAATCCGTATCCATGTCATTTTATTTAAATCTATTTCGAGACCAAATTCCCATGCTTAATCCACTTGTCCATTTGAATAAATCATATATCCATACCCAATTTTTTTGGAAGATGTAGTATAAGAAGCTTCATTTCCTTACTAGTCTCATTTTTAATTTTGGTTGAATCACAAGAAACACAATCAATCAACCATGATATCTTCGCTCATAATGTGACCTAATTGGATGGGTCATTTTCCAGTCTCGTTATTTCACATTTGAATGGTTTGTAATTGTTTTTCCACACTATGGCTAGGTGGTATTTAACACCGTTGTTTTATTTTAAATCTATATCCACCTGTTTTTAGGAATTCGGGCAGCGGAAAGTCCAGCTTGATTCACACATTATGAGTTTTCACAGATATGCAGTTGCTAGAGTACACATGCACGATTGGATCATGCTATTGCTCCTTGTATTGATTAAAATCACCTTGTACATGATCCGTCTGTTTTATCATTTTGTTGGAAAGGAAATGATACAGAGCAAAAATTCATACATAGCAGCAGAATAAACTCACAACAGAAAAAGAAAATTACAGAAACTAATTGCAGCAGAATTTTCATAACAGTCAGAGAAAATTACAAAAAAAGTCCATAACAGCGTACACGTCACAGGGAATCCGCAGGAAAACTTGCGTGAACCGTAGTGATTACAAAAGTAGTAAAACTCATAATTACAAAAGCAAAAAGAAAAACCACTAACAGAATTCACAACTCTAACAGAATTTCAATTGAAATACCATCCTACCCCTCCCTAAATCATCTATAAATGAATCTAAAACAAAATTGGAGAGAGCTTCCTCATTTCTTTGTTCTTCTCATACCCTCTGCTCCAACCTTAATCATCAATTATCAAATTCATAACCTGCAAAAAACCATTCAACAACACTACAAGTTTCCATAACCTTTAACGCATCCAATCTTCACTATTCTTTCTCAAATGCTTCATTATTCATCTTCAATCCTCAGCAAGATTCAACTGCAAGAATTCAACATGATTCAGCAGTAAGAAAATCACACAATAGCAACACAAAAAGAGGAAGAAGAATAAGGTAAAGGATCTGAGTTTATAAAACATGAACACAATAACAAAAATAGAAGCATAAGTAAAAGGAGAGAGTAGAATCGTTACTTGGGAAGTCGCTGACTCGTCGAAACCGCGCCGACCTTTGGTACGCATCTCACAACCTTCGCTTGAACTATTCATGTAAGTTGTTCTGAATGATTGCTCATCCATCGTTCACGTCAAGGTTGTGATTCAAAAGCGATTATCAAGATCGATGAATTTGAATAGAGAATGAGGTTGTTGCTCCGTTTCGATGAAGTGTTACCATGGAGTACGCGGGAACCGGTTGAGGAAGGTTCATTCTTTGCCGGCGTGAGGTCATGGCGCGACAGAGATCGTTATTATCGCGATTCGTGTGAGGAAGGAGTTGAGACGATTATGTTGTGGTGTAAGAGAAAGAAGGTGTGAGCAGAACATCGAGCGGAGAAGACGAGTGAGACGGACAGGAATAGAAGAAAGAACATTGAGCGAAAAAGATGAAGTAGAGGCTGAGACTTGTGATAGTGTATTAGACCAACTCCAACGATGGTTTTTCAAGTTGGTTTGCCAGCTTGGCATTAAAAATGTCAACAAAATAACATTTCAGCTGGAGAACGTGACAAAGATAAGCAACGGTTCTTAATTTAGTTTATTATTAAAATAATCATTTAGCCGTTGTGCAACGACTTTATTTTATTTTTTAAACTTTTTTATTTATTATAAATATAGGTTTGTTGGAAAAATTTTATATCATTCCTATTTTCTCTCCTTTTTATTTGCTCTTTAACATAAATATAGGCTTTGTTATAAATAGGCTTTATTTTTTTTTTTTTTTAACTTTTTTATTTATTATAAATATAGGCTTTATTTAATTTTTTTCCAACAATTTCTTCTTATTATCATTTTATTTCAAATTTTTATCTTTTTATTTCAAATTACATTTGTTTAGGCCAAATGGATCCTAATCATTTTCATTATCAACAAGCTATGTTCAATTTTATGCAAAATTATCAAAATCCTAATTCTCAAAATTCTCAAATTCCATCCGTACCACCAAACCCCGCCATATTTTTTCCGTCACCAAACAATTCAAATATGTATCAAAATCCTAATCCTCAAAATTCTCAAGTTCCACCATTTTCTACTCAAGTTGGTGTTGAAATAGAAGAAAGGGTTCTCGTTAAAAAAAATCTCGAGAGCAATTTACAAGGGATGAGGATATATGTCTTATCCAATCATGGCTCAATGTTTCAAAGGATCCAATTGTGGGGGTTGATCAAAAAGTTGAGAGTTTTTGGCATAGAGTCGCTGCAAATTATAACCAGTATCGTGGGCAATTGCGAGAAAAGTTAAGTGGTCAATTAAAATGTCGATGGCATCGAATAAATGCGTCGGTTCAAAAATTTGTTGGGTGTTATAGACAAGCTGTCAATGGAAAGAAAAGTGGGACATCAGAGAACGATATCATGGCTGCTGCACATGCTTTTTATGCTCAAGATCAAGGTATAACATTCAATCTTGAGTATGCATGACGATTGTTAAAAGATGAAGCTAAATGGGGCATCATCGGAGAATCGATTGGAAATTCTTCAAAAATGACACAGACTTCTGCTAGTGGGGCATCATCGGAGATCCCTGATACACCTTCAAGTTATGAGTTTAACTCATCATCACCAATGGAGCGTCCAATGGGACAAAAAGCAGCAAAAAGGAAGGGTAAGGCAAAGGAAATTTCAAATGCAACGCAAGATGCAAGGAATAAAAGAGCAGAAACAATGGAAAGACTTGCGCAGAGTAAGGAGGACGAGATAGAATTAAAGGTAATGCAAATCATGATGAAAGACACTTCTACTATGAACGAAAGTTAACGAGATATTCATGAAAAATATTGTAATAAAATGAAAAAAAAATATGGACTGTAGTACCACTTTAAATTATATTTAAATTTGAGTAATTATTGTTATGTAATTTATTTTTATTGTTTTTAATTGTATGTCATGTATTTGAGATTAATTTTAATTATCATTTTAAATTTTATGTTTAATTTTAATTTTATTTATTTTATATTAATTTTATAGATTGTAGTTAGTACCACTTTAAATTATATGTAAAATGGTCGTTAGTACCACTTTAATTTATCAAATTCTATGTCATTAGTACCACTTTAAATTTTATGGATTGTAGTTAGTACCACTTTAAATTTTTATGTTATTCAAACTAGCCGTTATTCAAACTAGCCGTTATTCAAACTAGCCGTTATGAATAACTAGCCGTTATGAATAACTAGCCGTTATTCAAACCATTATATATACTACCACTTGTGTCATTGTTTTCTCATTCTCTTCTTATTCCTCACTAAAATATGGATTCAGACAATTCAGATAATTACGATCAAGAATTTTGGGAGTTAGTTGAAGAAGAATTAATGGACGACAGTGATGAAGAACAACATCTTCAAAATGAATGTCAATTTGGAAGTTCCTCTAGGCCAAAGAGAAGAACTACGATAGATCGAGGTCGTGAAGAAGGGCACAATCGGTTATTCAATGACTACTTCTCAGAAAATCCAGTATACACAGATGTACAATTCCGAAGAAGGTTCAGAATGCATAGGCATGTGTTTCTTCGAATTGTAGATGCCCTCGGCAATCATGATGAATATTTCCAAATGAGGGTCGATGCAACTGGTAAGATGGGTCTTTCACCATTGCAGAAATGCACATCTGATATTCGTATGTTGGCATATGGGTCTCCCGCTGATATTGTAGACGAATATGTTCGAATCGGTGAAAGTACCTCAATTGAGTGCTTAGAAAGATTCGTTAAGGGTGTGAATGTTGTATTTGGGGCTGAGTATTTGCGAAAGCCTAACAACACTGATATTGAACATCTTTTAAAAATGGGTGAGTCACGTGGCTTTCCAGGTATGTTGGGTTCCATTGATTGTATGCACTGGGAATGGAAAAATTGTCCTGTTGCTTGGAAAGGACAATTTTGTCGAGGTGATCATGGTAAACCCACAATCATGCTTGAGGCTGTGGCATCTCAAGACTTATGGATTTGGCATGCATTTTTTGGTATTGCAGGTTCTAACAATGACATTAATGTGCTAAACCAATCTAACGTGTTTAACGATATTTTGGAGGGACATGCTCCCACTGTGCAATATACAATCAATGGAACACCATATAATATGGGGTATTATTTAGCGGATGGTATATATCCTGAGTGGGCTACATTTGTCAAGACCATTTCAATGCCGCAGGGAGAAAAGAGAAAATTATTTGCTCAACATCAAGAATCAGCTAGAAAAGACGTGGAGCGGGCATTTGGAGTGCTCCAGTCTCGATTTGCAATTATACGTGGTCCAGCGCGTGCTTGGCACATGGAAACCCTCAAGCATACAATATATGCTTGCATCATATTACACAACATGATTGTTGAAGACGAACGACACACATATGAAGGTCATTTTGATTACTCTTATGATAATGTAGATGACAACAACTCAACAACTGAAACATTTAACGGTCCCCATCCGAATCTTGCAACAAGGCTACAAAGAAGAGCAAATATTCGTGAAAAGCAGGTTCATCGCCAACTTCAAGGAGATCTGGTCGAGCATATTTGGGAACGTTTTGGACACGAGGAAGATGAAACTTAAATGACGAATTATGTGATGTTATTTATTTTTATTGTTTTTAATTATGTGATGTTATTTATTTTTATTGTTTTTAATTATGTGACATGTATTTAAATTTAATTTTAATTATTATTTTCAATTTTATGTTTAATTTTAATTTTATGTTTAATTTGTATTTATATTAATTAAAATTTAAATATTTAAATTATAATTTTAAATAAAATAAATTTAATATAAATAATATATTTTAAATAAAGTGGTGGGACCCAATATGGGTTCTTTGAAGTTGCACCATTGGAGTGAAAATTGAATGGGTTGCTTTAAAAGAGTGGGTCCCACAAAGAACCCAAAAATGGGTTGCACCATTGGAGATGCTCTTAGGTTTCTCTATTAACCTTGCCAAAACGTTGAACCAGGTTGCTTTGGTTGGGCCTTAGGCTCTAGCATTTTTTTTCATACTGCAAATTACTCTTGTTCACCCCATTGGCTTCATGATCAAGAAAATCCTTGGGCCTAAAACCTGTAGCCCGCGCCCCATATGTTTTCTGCACCCTTTGTTTGGTCATTTTTGGGTTAATTAGATTTTCTTTTCTAATTAATATTAGATTTAATTTTTGATTAATCTTTAACCTTAGTTTTGATTAAAATTTTTATTAATTTTGTTTTTAACTCTTTAATTAAAATTTTGATTAGTTTTGTTCTTCTTTGATTAAAGCTTTGATTTTAATTTCGATGCTAGTAAAATCTTAATTGAATCATAGTTTTGATATTAATTGTGATTAGAATTTTGTATAATTTTGCATTAGGTTAATTGGAATTTTTAGATTGTTGATAATCATTTTTTATATTTGTAATACCCCAAATTTTGCCCTAAGATTTGTCATCGCATTTCATTGCATTTCATTGCATTTTTACTGCATTTAATCAATTACTAACATATTTGTGTAGTCGTTTGACTTTTTGCAGGTAAATATCATATGACATGCATTTTTTTTCTAAAAAGTAAAAATGACACAATTGGCAAGAGGACATGTGTAAGGAGTTGTGAGTGTGAGAGGTTGAGAGTTCAAATCTTACCTTTGTCACTTTTTTGTTTTTTATTATTTTTACTCTAAATTTTTCTATCTTTCATTAAAAAATAACAAAAATAGTTTTTTATTATTATTTAATTATTATTTTCGTATTTTAATTAAATCATTTTTTAAAATATTATTTTTTTCACTTTTTTCTAAATTATTCATAAAAATATCCAAAAAATCATAAAATAAAAAATATTGAAAAAAATTTTGTTCTTTTTATAATATTTTTGATTTTAGGAATCAATAGGATTATTAGTTTTTATTTTAAGTTTATTTTAATTATTTTAAATTATTTAAATTTTATTTTTTCTTAACTAATTATTTAGTTTGGGCTTTAAAATGGGCTTTAGGGACATTATTGACAATTTGGTGTTAACCCTAATTTGTTCGCTATATATACATGTGTTGTCTTGTTGAAAAAAGGAGGAGAATGAAAAAAACCTAAGAGGAGTGAGTGACGTTTACCGTTATTTCTTTTTCTTCATCTATTACTGTTGTATCTTTTTCTTCATCGTTTACCGTTATTTCTTTTTCTTCATCTATTACTGTTGTTTCTTTTTCTTCATCGTTTACCGTTATTTCTTTTCCTTCATCTATTACTGTTGTTTCTTTTTCTTCATCTTTTACCGTTATTTCTTTTTCTTCATCTATTACCGTTATTTCTTTTTCTTTATCTATTACTGTTACGTTTATATATTTATAATTTTTAAATTGTTAGAGTTTATATATATAAGATTAATTTTTGATCGAATTATATCGATACGATGTTTGCACATTTGTGTGCATGACGCGTGACATTTGTGTTAGTTCGATCTGGTTGCGATGATCGCATTTTTGTGTGAGCAATAATACTGTTTTTTTGCTTAATTTCTTTTTCTTTGCGATAAATTTTGTTTCGTCCGATTTAGATCTGGTTGCGCTGAACGCATTTCTGCGTTAGCAACATTGTTGGGTTATTTGGCACATTTAAAATTCATTATTGCTTTATTATTATTATTATTATTATTAGTATTATTATTATCATTATTTATTATTATTATTATTATTATTATTATTATTATTATCATCATTATTTATTATTATTATCATTATTTATTATTATTATTATCATTATTATTATTATTATTACTATTATTATTATTATTATTATCATTAATTTATTAAAACTTGTTATAATATAAAAATCTGTTTTTTAAAATAAATAACATTAACATCTTTTCCAAATTAATATGAAAACCTATTATTTTTAAGAAAATTTTTTTTTAGATAAATTTAAAATAATAACTAAAATCTTTTTTTAAAATAATAACTAGAACCGTTTTTCTTAAAAAATATATAATAATAACATTAAACCTTTTTTTTTTTTAAAATAAAACCTTTTTGTTAGATAATTAAATTAAGACTATTTTTGAAAAGTTATTTTTAATAATATTAACACCTCTTTTTTTTTTAACTTAAATCAAAAGCTTTTTTATATATCACAAATAAACAAAAAGAATATCTATAACTTTCGCACTTCCGTTTCATAACTCGCCTGATTACTGTGTGACTCTGTCTACTAACCTTGTGTATTCAATGTGCAGCTTGTTACGTTGATATTAGTTATTTTAATGTGTTTTTCAATTCAAGTTGTATATAATTGTATCCGTTTCTCATTTGTAACCTCGCGAACCAACAATCGCGTTTACTTTCTGCATTTTATTTCCGTTTGTATGATTTAAATTTCTCACACTTTCATCACTATTACTTCTGTCACATCACACCTCCGAAGGATTAGGTCTAGCCGTTTGGCCGCCATGCCAATAGTCCT